AAAAGCAAAAAAAAAAAAAAAAAAGTAGATAAAATATACAAAGTGGTCCCTATCTTTTGGGTAATTTTTTAATTTGGTCCATAATCTAAAATGCTCAATATTACCCTTGGTGTATAAAAAAGCATTCAATTAGATCATTGAGTAAAAAATGTATAAACAAAAAGTTGATGCATCATCAAATTGTTGACATATTGGGAAACATAGACATGTCACTCAAATGCCACATACACATGAAATCCAACATGCATATTAGCAAAATCCAACCTACTCATCAACAAAATTAATTTCTTTTAAATGAAATTTCTATATGTCCAAATATGTTATTAAAATAATAACTTAATGACACAACAACTTTTTGTAAACAATTTTTTAAAACAACATAATTGCGACTTTTAGATGCATTGAGTAAAATTAAGAAATTCAAGAGATTGAAGAACAAATTGAGCTTTACCTAAAATCTTAGAGACCACTTCTGACATTTGACCAAAAAAAATTAATATTAAAAAAAAAACATTCAATAATTTTCTCCATCAAATATGTTCCTTTAGGCATCAAGTCATTTATACATATCGACTCTATAAGGAACCAGATTGGTTTCTGCCTCATTAATAGAATTTATCTAGACAAGCAAATTCCCACCCACCCTAGCTGGAAATCCTCTCTGACATGCACATAGACTATTCATATGATCAGCAGTCCTCACATGAATCTACAGCTAGAGCATTTGACTAATCGGGAGAGTTCATAAAATTCAATCGTTTTTTTTTTTTTTTTGGTTTATTTCATTCTTCACAAGATTAGCCGATAGAAGGACATCTCTTTTATGGCCAGTAGGTAATTTGCAACTGTTCGAAGTCTTTATATGGACTTACTTCAACTTTAGCAATAAGTCCCTATCATGAAGATAATTACAAATCTAGAATCTCCCAGGAGGCTTCCAATAGAAAGAGCCAACTAGAAGTTTCAGCATTTGTTCATTGATAAACGCATTGAAGTTCACCAAGAAAGCTCCTTGCCATATTGAAAAATAGAAAAATAAAAACAATAGCACAGTATAAAGTTACGCAGTGGACACGGAGGCTAATTAACTACCTAACTTGCACCAATTCGTGCTCCTCATACAACAGCATTGGTGATAAAAAATTATAGCACTTCAAATATACAGAGCTATAATGATTAGGTAAAGTTAAGTCCTTATTTAATTTATTGACCGTAACTTACTGCGGAAAAGATGTTTCTCCAGAGTCCCACTTGCCATATATTCATATACTAACATCCTGTGCTCATCCTCACAGCAATAACCAATCAGCTTCACGAGATTAGGGTGACTAAGCTGCCCGAGATAGTTGACTTCTGCCTATATTACAAGGGTTAAAAAAAGTCATGGAAGCCCTCTCTTAATATTATAATTTCTAGAAAACAGTCAATATTTCCAAATCTGTAAATCATTTAGTGGTACTGTAAAATAGCTCACAAATCAACGACTAAAAAAGAAAATAACAGAGACGAAAAGAAAAAGGGAAACTATATACATTATAATCAGAGATGTGTAATCAGTGTGCATAAATTATATACATTGTAATCACTATAAAATGGGACCTTAACTTATTATCTATCAGTGAAGTGTACTTACATTTACTTTTATTGAAAATAGGCCAAAAAAATTTAAACTTGTCCTTGGTTACATTATATGCTATGCAAACTTGAACGTGATAGTGCAATCATTTCTTTAAACGAATGCGTTCACTTCTTAATTTAAAAAGAAAAACATGAAAGTTTAGCTTAAAACTTTAATTTCATAATTCTGCAAATGAATAGCAACACTGCACTTTTTTTTTTTGTGCATTGTTCAAACTTCTGACGAAATATTTTGCTTTTGTTGAAAGAAATTATAGTCATCATAACACAACACCGCTAAAATCATTCTATGCAACTCAAGTTCTGGAAAATATATAAGCTAGCAGAAAAGAAGCATACCAGCCATTCCCTGTCACCTTGGAAACCTTCACGGTTAAGCTCCTTAATGGCAACCTGCATTGGCTTAAAACCTGGCCTTACATTTTGATCAATAAATCCTTTGTATACAACACCAAAACCGCCCTCCCCTAGAATTAGGTCTGGCCGAAAATTCTTTGTGGCGAACTTCATCTCCTCATATGCAAAAATTTCAACGTCGCTATAGGCAGGGGTTGCGCGGAGAACATCAATATGCCTATTTACCATGGAATATCCACTTGTATTTCCTTCTGGTCTCGATGGAGATTCATGAGCCATCTCTAATACTATGTATGAAAAAAAAAACACACTGAGAGCCAAAACGATAAGGTAAATATGTGTGTGTGTGTGTGTGTGTGTGTGTTTTCTTGAAAGAGAAGCAAATATTTTTAACGATAAAGTGAAAAGTTATGCATGGTGTCACAATTTGATCCCACGATTCAACTTACCCTTACTATAATATGCACCCCGCCATAGAGATTACAAGAAACTTCTTAAGACAAGATATCATAATTCCAAAAACAATTACAAGAAAGCTTCCCAACAAGAATTAATACCAAACGATAAATAATTCCTAAAAATATTTGGAAAGAAAACACACCAAGAAGCCACTAATGTTTAATCATCAAAAAAAATTTGTTCCCACCAGGTTTGTTTTTCAAAGAGACTCACTTATTTTTGTCCAAGGTCCCCATAAAATAGCTTTTACCACGTTGAGCCAAAGAACTTCTAAATTTCTTTTTCAATTCACTGTTGCAAGGAAACATAAAAATGTTGCTTTTCGCCATAAAATTGAATATCCAAGCAATCTTGAAACCTTGGAATAAAGACTCCCTCTTTTTCCTGCTATAAACACAATGAAAAGGCAAATGATTGACTCTCTTTTACTTAGACTTCACCAAACTTGGGCTAAGAGCCAAATAAAAGCACCATTTCTTAAGGCTTTCAACTGAAATTAATAAAGGCCATGCAGACCAATATATTGATGGTTAGGGACATTTTACTTTTCACAGGGCTAGTATGGAGAATGACTGCTATTTCCTTGTCTTTTCCTAAACTTCTAGGAGGCATAGATATTTCGCCAACTCCAAGATTACAGTGTCGGTGTATCATGTCGAGGATGTGCCTTGATATTTATCTGCAATGCAATTTAAACTAGGACGTGATTGGAACAACATGAGGTAAGGACTAGATAAATCTTGAATTCAATTGGCACACGGTTCAAATATCCTTTTCACAGTTAGGAAAGTTAATCATAAGAAAGGTCATTACTTAAAAATAAACACATTTGAGCATCAACACTCCAAAACCACATCACCAACTCCCACCCAAATCATAATTTCATCCCCCTAATTTGTGCTTAATTTAATTTCCTTTTCTTTTAGATAAGAAATTAGCGATGTGTTAGAGACAAAAGAAAGAAACAAACTGGAGGACAGGCTTAAAGAAAACCCGCCTCCCAACAAACTACAGTTTCAATCTTTAAGTTTGAGCTCCACCACGAGGTAGTAATATACTATTGCAAAAAGAATTCATCAAATCCATCTTATCTTAAAGAATCCTTTGATTTCTCTCTTTCCAAATGCCAAAGAAGAGCTCGCACTGCATAATTCCACAAAACTTAGCTTTTATTTTCAACATCACGCCGCCAAGAACCCAAAAGCCAATGATCCACTGATAAAGGATGGGAAAACACCATACCAAATTCAGACAAAAGAAATGATTAAACCCTTTGAGCGAAAGAACAAGGGAGGAAGATGTAGTCAAGATCTTGGCGTGTCTCCTACAAAAACAGCAGACTGAGGGTGATAAAGTCAAGTGATTCTGATTTTGCTAGTTCCAATCTGAACCACATTCAGTTTTTCAGCAAAGGCAGCCCATTTAGCCACCTCTCTATCAAACAATTTTCTTTTAACCCCTAAATCCAAATCCTAATGCTCACACACAACACATTCTGCCATAAAAGACTCCTTTTAGACAATGGAATGGGACTACAGGCATCCTCCCAAAAACAAATACGCTGACCATTTGAACTTCAAAAAACGGAAAAATGGGGGGGAGGGATTTAATTAAAATAAAACCATTCCTGTTTTTTTCTATGTCCAATAGTCTACATCTCCGATTTGTTAGGCCATACATGGAGCTCAATCCCATAAATAGTTGCAATCACAATCCTCCAAAGCCTTTTTTCCTCTCGAGTAAACATCCAAAGACATTTAACATTCTGTTCTTTGCTCGAGAGAATCTACCCCTAGCCCTCCATGTTGAGTTAGGGAGAGAGATCCAATTTCATCCTTCCAGGTGACTCCCTTGGCTGCATTAGCAACATTTGTGCATATAATTTCTTGAGAATCGTGTTTCAATTCCTCTTAAGTCTTTTCTTGGTTGGAAGTCCCAGGGAAGCTTGGTACCCATTACCAATGAATACATTCGAAGAATTTCTTCTTAACTTCAATCGTGTGACTTTGTCAAAAAGGCATGGGGGATTTTGACCGCCCTTGTATCCACTGCATTTCCATATTGTAGGACAAATGCTTAACTAGTCTTGATGTTTCTTGGAACTGCATTCAAATTGAGTATCTATTTAAATCTAAGAAAACAGCTACCTGCAAACTGTGACACTTAGTTTCAATGATATTGGACACCTAATATTAGATACAACCCTCGACAGATTGTACGATTGTATCAGACACATATTAGACACCAACAGTTCAAAAACTGTGCCCTTAAATTAAAGTATCCTTTGGGAACACAATGGCATGGATAAAAGAATGCTGAGGAAAAATCATAGGATGAGGATTAGGTATTCATAAGTCTCCTTCATTCGGAACACAACGGCATAGAAAAATAATGCTGAGGATAAATTATAGAATTAGATATTCATAATTCTTTTTCATCCAGGAATATAATGGCATGAGAACAAATTTAGTCATTCTTCAGTATCCTTAATCCAGCATGTCAATTTTAGTCAAAATTCGAGTTGACCCGACCCATCACTGGAAATAGATTACTAAAGGCCATGTAATATATTTCAACTTTTCTTTTGAAGAGTTAATTACACCTAACAAAATTAAAAGGAAAAAATAGTTTCGAGCATAAAACCATTAAATATGTATAGAACACATTAAATCTATTAAAGTATATATGTTTGCATACCTTTTCATAAAGGTCTTTCGACTTTTGACATGTTTAATTTCCAAGCTTTTGACAAAAAAAAAGAGGCATGTTCTAGTATCTATCATGTCCTATATACGCATTCCTTTCTATACTTCTAGGGCAGCTACATTGGATGGAAGAAAAACACGCTTTGATTATCAAGATCCAAAGGAAACAGAAGAATTTTCTAGATTGTGACATCAATTCAATCTAAATAAGATTCCTTTCAATAATTCGCTACGAGATTCAAATGTTCATAACATCCTCTTGTTATTATATAACTGAGAAATGGAGAGATTTACAATCTTTGATTTAGTCCTATTACATTGTTCTTGGTTTTTGGCTGAACATTTTCCTGTGTAAAAGTTAAAACAAATAGCAACTACGGATAAATCATTTGTTCATAAAACCAACACCATCCAGAATCTATGAAACTTCAAAGCATATATCAATCAACCAGCAAACAGGGCAGAGTCAAAAGAAACGAAAAATCAATTCAGAAGCATTACCTAATTTCTTTCTAGCAAGACCCCTGGGTCGCCCTTCCCTCGCCTCGATGCTCCGACAAATCCCCATGGGAACTCAATCTTAAACCGGCCTCATTTTCTAACCCCATAACCAATGTCAAAACTAACCGGCAATTGCCATTCCCGATCACGAACAACCAATTTAACGAATCATCAATCCTGTGTGTTGCGAACTGATGATCGTTCCTAATAGGGACCAAACTCAATGTTGGTCCCCCAAAATCGGAAATGGGTAGTAGGGTATTGAGTGGATTTCACCGGATTCCGATCGAGTTCCCGGAAACAGAAAAAATGGACACTAGGAAAACGATCGGCTCTAGAAAAAGAAATGTGGAGGAATATACAAATACAGATATGAAGGACCCAATAACGCGCAGAGAAAGATAGCATGTCCCCTTATTTCGCATTAGGAAGCGCAGAAGGCGCGAAGCCAAATGCAAATTTCTTCTTTTTTGTCAGTTTGGTTTGAAATTATTCCAAGTTTGAGAATGTTAATAGTGTTTATCACATCAGTTTGCTTATTTTAGAGCATCACATTTATATTGCATACCATCTTTGGTTTCTAATATTTTGGTATGATTTAATTTCTTTTTCTTTTCTTTTTTACTTAAAATGATACCAAATTAATAATGTCCCAAAAATTTTAATAAACAAAATAAAAAAATTTGAAAATACAAGCCATCATTGTTTGCTAAGAAAAAAAAATTTTGACTATCAAATTTTACCTTAAAAAAAAAAACTGAGGATGACTTCTATTTAATATTATTTTAATAATCACGAGAAAATTTTGAAAATTTTGATGATTAAGAAAGTTCCCGTTCAGCTAATTGGTAAAGAGACTAATCCAATTTAGTGTTTTTTAGCTGTTCCAAATTGTTACGCATATACTGTTATCTCAGATCTTATGAATCACGAATGTTTAAAAGTATTAAACTCTCGACCATGATATTTACAATCTCTAAAATAAAAAAAATCCTTACGCTAATTTGCTCATTATTTATCGAACTAAACAGTCGAGTAGTATAGTTATTTTCGTTAATTAAATGTAAATTTGTCATTTATGTTAGGGAAATAACCCCTTTCATAGTTTTGAATTTTATTTGTAATTAAACATTATTTTAGTTTTCAATATTATATTATTTTCATTTTTTTTTCTTTTTAAATATTGGAATAAGGATTGGGCACCTAGATTTTTTTTCCAACATAATTTTCTAGTAATTGATATGTTCTTACCTATTGAATTTGGAAATTATTTATTTAATATTATTTTGATTATCACAAAAAAAAAAAAAAAAAAAAAAA